ACACTCAAATTTAAGCATGTTTCATTATTTTTATTTTCTTATTCGATGTTGATGAATATTGTCCAGTTGATTAATAATATGTCAATCTACTTATATTGATTAAAATCCTCGGCATTTAAAATTGGTAAGGGGAAATCGTTATGTTAATCTGAGCTGTTATCAATAAAATGAAGTAAACATGATCTGCCAAGGGATATGCGAGAATTTACTTTCCAAATTTCAAAGTCTCTAGCTCTTATAGTCTCTGGCAATATCTACTCGGCTAAAATAAAATCATTACGCCCTTTTTAACAATTTTGAACGGGTTAAGGGTATAAAGAAAAGAAGAACAACAACAATTTGTTTGCGTTAAATGTCGAACAGCTGTGCAAATAACTGCAATTTACATTTACCACATCCGTCGCATATTTTGCACACTAAATAAACACATACAAAAAAAATGGAAAAGAAACAACCACAAGTGCAAATACATATATATATTTACATGAATATATATATATATATATATTTATATACATATTTGAATGTGCAAATAACAAAAGCATTGAGTCAATTTTGTGGATTCATTATTGAATTATATTTATTTATTAAATACAAATGCTACACTCACTCATACATATACGAGTATGTACACATTTGCACATACATTCATCTATGATTGTTGCACTTGTTTTTTTTTCGCAGTGCATTTGCAAATGTGAAATGTCAACGCGACTGCATTCGGCTGTGATTCGGTGCAAATGTTTGTGCACATTTCATGGCCAGACTTTGCAATTTCGTGTTTGTCACAGCTCCCGAATTTGTGTGCCCCACTATTTATATTTGAATACGGTGTTTGTGCCACATACTTTTGAATTGCACTTCTCGCGATTCATTTGCAAACAAGTCGCCGGACAGATGCCTTCATGTATGTGTGTGTGTGTGTGGGTGTGTGTGTGTGTGAGTTCCTTCATGTGTGTGCAGCGCCATTTTGACTTATTCAACATGAGTCAACGTCAGCGCCAAATGAAAATGGCAACAGCAACAGCAACGTTGCAGGCAACAGCCACATTCCCCATTTACCTGAATCTGTTGCAATTTAACAGTTGATGTGTGTTATTTTCACAGGTTTTGTAGGGTAGATGAACGTATATGTATCTGTGTACTTTTGTTAATTGAGCCACAGCTATTTGCCTTGTCTGACCTTCGGGCTTAATTCTTAATTTGTTAAGTTGAACAGCAAACGAGCACACAAAATTGCCAAATAAAAACAATTGTCAATTGTATATTGTTGATCTTAAGTTGATCTAAGGCTAACACTTATATTAATACTTTTAGGCACACTTAAGGCTATTAAAAGTAGTTACCCATCAAAACATAGAAATGATTCATTTATTATTCATTTATACTACGGAGATGGTACATAACATAGCATATACCATGTATTCAGTAAATAAAATCAGTTATTTGTCTTTCACAACAAATATTAAAGATAATACTAATGCTGAAAAATATCAGAGTGTGATTGTCTAATTTGGGTTCAACTTTATGGTCAATCTGTTAGTTTCCAGAGATTAAGATGCTTTTACATTGACATAGTTTATATTTAATAAATAAAATCAGTTAGCTGTGTGGCTGATTTTCATCACAAACTGTATAAATTCTGATCTCCGTCATCAACAAATATTGTCAAAGAGCTTAAAGTCAACAAGTAAGAATGTTGACTTTGAAAATGAAAATTATCCAGTTGTTTATCAGTAAGAAGCGTCTGACTTTATAATGATGGCTTTTGTTGGTATCCAACTTTAAAGTCCCAAGCTCTGATAGTCTCTGAGACCCACGAGTGCATATAGATAGACAGCCAGACAGACAGACAGAGTATAATAAAAATGCATTGTAAACTCTTTACCAAATATGTCAACTTTGTTAAGAATGAAACTAATTTGAAAGCCTATCTTATCAAACAATGCTCACAATAAACAAACACAATACAAATATTGTATATAAAATAATATTTGAATGTAAGTTTCTTGATCATTTTTACGTTTATCCATTTTGTGGCCTCAAGTGCCATCGTTGCGCACTTGGAGTATTTTCCAATTACGAACGACTTAAGCTGCCGAGTAATTTCTATTTGCCTTTTATTTCGCAAGCGACAAGTAGCTTTTAGTAAAATGAAATACAGTCACTCACACAGACACACATATAAATGGATGGATAGATAAATGAAGGAAGTGAAGAGAGTTGAGGTGGGCGGTGCAAAAGGAAAACAGCAAACGTTGCAACAATTTACAGCGACAAATTGCATTTGGAAAGTATTTCATTTGGAAATTACAAAGCAGACAGAACACGGTGCCATGCGGCCAAAGGCAAAATGGAAACCCAAACGAAAAACGAGAATAAAACTACAACTTATAAATGAAAATCTTGCTGATGAGGATGATAATGATGATGATGTTGATGATGATGGTGAAATGCGTTCAGTCATAGGCATCCCGTGGCACCCATCAGCTTGCGAATCACATTTTATTACACATGCTTTTCCAGTGCGTGTGTGAGTGTGTGTGGTGTGTGTGTGTGTGTGTGTGTGTGTGTGTGTGTGTGTAGAGGTGTGCGTGTGTTTGTGTGTGGTTGCTTTTTAGGCACTGACAATGATTCCATCTGCGGTTCCAGCAAACTCACAAACAGTCCACAGATAAGCTGTTTTATATGTCAACTGCATCAACAGCAACTACAATGGCAATAAAAAATTCCACCCTCAACACCAATAATCATCCCCAAATTCAACCATACCCTAACAAAAACAAAAGAATTCTTTCAGACATTTTTCCTAATCTATATTTAATGTTATTTGAAAACAATGCGCTATTTAAACAATCAGACAACAACAAAAAAACAAAAACAACAAACAAATGCATCGGAATGAATGTTATTCTTCAATTCAATGCTTTTTTTGCTAAATCAGAAAACTTTATGCCAAACTATTATTAAAATATGCAAAACAACTTTCAATGTTCTCAATTTAACATTTTTCATTCATTCAATTTAACATTTCAACATTCAATTTTAAACGAACTTAGCAAAATTCCAACAGTTGGCAAAAGTTCTGATTTTAAACTTTTAATAACCATGCGAAATAAGTAAAATAAGGAAGATTTCCTAAATGAAATTCTTTTCGGAAATTATAAGAAGATTAACTGATTGAACTGCTTTTCGAATATAAATATAACTAAGATAAGATTAGCTAATTGAAATACTTTGTAAGAAGATTTCAGGCTAGACGAAGATGCTGTAACTTCAACCTCTGGCTAAAGGAATACAAAGTTCCAATCCTGAAAGATTATATGTGAGGAATTCTCTGAAACTGACCACATTTTACTTACAATACTTTAAAAACTAAATAAGTGCTTATAAAAGAAAATACGTTTATGTACGGTGAAAGAATGATTTATTATTTATTCTTTAGTTAATGTAGGGTCTACAATTTTTTAATCTAAAAATACATGGTGTAAAAATAAACGTTATTAAATTAAAATTTTATTTTATATATGTTACATTTATACTAATAACTTGTAAATGTAATATAAAAGAATTTGTGTTTACTTTTTTTTTTTTAATGTGTAATGATTAAAGGATATAATAAATATTTATCCATTAAAATGTGAAATAAAATAAAGCAAAAAATTTCCAATCAGATCAAAAATTGTGTAGCCTTGGTAATATCTGAAAATGAGAGTAAAACGCTAAGAAAGGAGGGAGAGAGGTAGAGATCAAGATTAAGAGGGGAAATAAAGAAAAGATAATGAAATCTATAAGCCTGTGGATTAAGTTGTTTGTTTCAATGTTTTTATTTTGATTTCTATATTATATTTAAATTACTAATTTTCAAGCGAGGACTCAACATTACTTTCTTGTATTTATTTTCTAATTTCTAATTAATTTCATGTAGTGTCATTAAAATCCACAGCAATAACATATACCCCATATGTTTTTTTTGCCCCAAGGGTGTAGGCATAACAACAACAACAACTGCAACAAGAACTGCGGATTTCAAGGCAGCGACTGCATTTACGAGTGCGCCTGCAGCTCGTTAGTTTGTCATCGTGTGTGGCTGTGTGTCCATGTTTGTGTGGATGTGTGTGTCCTTTTTTTCTTTTCCCAACTCTCGCGTTTTTTATACATTTTTTTTTTTGCAGAGCCAAGCGCCGAAAGCGAACCATGAATTGAAAATGAAATTTTGTGTCAGTGTTGCAGAAAGTACGAGTTTTCAGTTAGTTCTGCGACTGTGTGTGTGTGTGAGTATGAAAAGTTGGCGGGACAGACAACAAACAGCACTCACACACACACACACACACACATATACACACACACACACAGCCGCACACTTGAACATATGCAGATGTTGGCTAGAGGGCTGAAAGGGGTGGTACAAGGGAAGGTGCTTAGGGCTACAAGTGTTTAGCTGGCATTCAACACTTGACTGGGTAAATGGGTGGTTGGGTGGTTGGGTGGTTTGGTGGCTGCGTGGTTGGGTTTGCGCGACCTTGCCACACATAAATGAGCAAACGTGCATGTTATTTTTCTGTGGATTGCGGCTTTAAACAATTCAAGCGCAATTAGCTCGCGAATGGATTGACATAGTCGTCAAAATAGCAAAATAATAGCAACAAAACAAAAAAAAAAGAAACAAGTGGGTCGCAATGCCAACGAAACTTTTGTCTCCAAAAATTGAAATTCCGCACAGCAAAATTTAAAGAATTTCAATTGTGAAACATTCCCAATTCCCCCTCCCCAGACCCCTTTTTGTCGATTGCCGGCGCCGTTGCCGGAAATTAGAGAAGAGAACATTCAAAGCGACTGGGACGAAACAAAAAGCTGGCAGCAATTAAAGCCGCCAGGACGTGCCTCGCCTAGCTAGTTGGGGAGGGGGGATGCGAGAGGTTGGAATTTTAGGGGCAGACAAATTAAATTTAATTAGAAATTAAATGAGAATAAATTGGATTATTTAATTAAAAACTCACCTTGCACGAGCAGCAGCAGCAACAAAAGCACCAACAGCCAACTGATGAGCCAGTTGAGTAATCCGAAATTGGCTCTGCAGCTGGCCGACATTGTTGTAGTTGTTGTTGTTGTTGCAGTTGTTGCTGTAGTTGTTATAGTTGTTGTTGGCCTTGTTATCCGCATTTTATTGTTATGATCGCTGTTTTTGTAGTGCTTGCTGTTAGCAATTCGCTGCGGTCTTTTTGGCCTTGTTAACGTTTGCGTTTTCGTCAAATTACAGGCCCAGCTCAGCGTGGCTCGGCTCAGGTCGCGTCTAAGCGTTCGCTCGGGAGCAATAACAAAATGAGTTTGCTATCTTTTTAAATTGTATTTATATTATTTTCTTCTTCTTTTTTTTGCTGCGCTTTTCACATTGTTTTTTTTTCTTTCTCACTGATTTGAGCACTTTCTTTTGCTGTTTTTCGTTTTATTTTTTGGTTTCGTGTGCGAGTGCAAAACTTTTTGTTGTTTTGTATTTTTTTGTGTTTAGTCAAATTGCTGTAAATTCAATTTCTTTGTTTTGTGCTTTTAATGTAATTTGTTGTAATTTGTTGCTGCCCGGAACAACAAGAGCCGCATAAATCATACGCCATGTGCGCTTTCAGGAGTCGCCTCAAAGTATGCAACGCTCGACACAAAACACACACAGGCACACACACCCACACCGGCACGCACTAACACACACACACACACACACACACAGTGTTGTCTTCGTTTGTTATTTGCGCTTTTGATTTGTATTTGGTTTTAGATAGCAAAGTGTGCGCCAAGTAATTTATCTTGTCGTTGGCGGCTTAGCACTTTCACTTGACTGGAGTCAAGTTTGTTCTTTTTTCTCTTTTTTGTTTTTTCTTTTTTTAAGTAAACAAGACTATGCCTCAAGTTGTTGTGGTTTGGGTTCTTCTCCAGTCTTGTGTTGGCTTGTTTTGACAGTTGTTGGATTGATGGAATGCCACTTACACACAGACACACACCCACACACACACACGTAGACGCACACACACACACACACCCACACACGTAGGCTTATTAATGCATGTGTTTAATGCAGCTTAATCACCAGACATTAACGGGACATTAACACGCACGATTTGGGCCCATTAGGCCACTCCAAATTGGGACTCTGACTCCGACTCCATTCGATTAGGCAGCACGTAACACTGTTCACCTACTGATGGCAGTCTGGCAACACTTCTGTTTTTGGGGTAAACAGCCCGCACAGCAGACATAAATCACAAAAAACGCGTGCTTTGCACTCGAGTCACAGGATTCAACTGACTGTGAATCGTCGCCAGGCAGCTCGCCAATCGTTGGCCGCCCACGAAGTGTATGCCGAAGTAGCACACGGCATCGGCACACAGCAAAAACACGACGCAACGATTCGAAGAGAGCGCGCCACTTGCTCTCTTAACTGCCCAAGAGTGGCGTTCTTCTTGTTGTTGTTCCCCTCAAAACTATTAGTGCACGAAATTGCAGCCGAACTTTGGAGTGCTCTCTGAATACTCGCTGTACTCGCACTTAAGAGCACAAGCCTCGAAGTTGCTTTTTGTGTTGTTGTCGTTGTTGATGTTGCATGTTTTTTAGTTTGATATGTGGAAATATTTAAAAATTATATCACAAGTGCTGTGTTAAAAATATATATATATATATATATATATATATATATATATATATATATATATATCAGTAAGAAAACCTCAAAATTTAAAAAACAAACTTTACATAATTATTATTATTTATATATAATAATATTAATCTTCTGCATTCATTCAATGCATACCTCTTAAGCTCTTCAAAATTCTCTTTTGTTGGATTACAGTTATTGTAAATTTACTGTTTAATTTCCGTTCGTTTTTCATTGTCTTTTTAGCTGTATTAGCAGCTAGTAGAAAAACTGACCGCCTCAATTAGGAAGCGCTGTAAACTGTAAACTAAATAACAATGTCATGTCGTAGGTCAGTGTAGCCGCGTATAAGAGTGCGCACAACCACTCTTATACTGCACAGCAAAGAGAAAATAGCCCAGCGAAAGCAACGAACAAAATGGCTTTGATACAAACAAAAAATGCAGTGTTAATTAATGCTTGTAATTAGCCCTAGTTGCTGCAGCTATTTTATTTTATTTGACTTGTAGTTTTTTGTGGTTTTATCGCTGCCAAAGGAACACACAGAGAGACTAGGTCGATTTTCAATCAATTTGCAATAGTTTTTAATTACAAGTCAATTTCATTTGAGTAAACAAATAGATAATACAGTTCACTGCTGATATACATTATTAGTGCACCACACACACACACACACACACACACACATACATAGAGAGAAAGCATCGCCTGTTGAAATGCTTCAATCAATTAAATTAATTAGTGGCACAAAGTATTTCAACGATGCCCCGATAAGGTTGCCACATTTTACTTTTATTATTCCGTTACAGTGAACACTGCGTTTAACGCACAATCAACTCATTTTAGTGTAGGACTGACTCCATAACAACTCATTGCGCCTATTGAGCTAATAAATAAATGTAGTTTAAAAATACTAATTGGAATATTTAAGTATTTATTTACCTGTTCAGCAACACTGGATGATGAGTCTATTAGTAATCGTCAGCAATACTCACATATTTGAAATAACATTAATTTAAATTTGGTAATTCCCTATCTTAATTCCATTTAAGTAATGCTAATTTTTCAAAATTTGAATTGCCTTAGTTGGTATTTTTTCATATTTACAATTAGATAAAGTGGTTTTCCACTAAAAATCAATAAATAAATATATAAATATAATAACATTTTTGAATTTTTGAATGCGATATAGAGTATTTATAATAAACAGAAATAAATGAAGAATTAGATATATCATTTATATTTTTAAATTTTAATTAATAAAGTATATAAGCATAATTAATAATTTTAAATACTTAAAATACGATAAGGATGTTTTTTTTTATTAAACAAAAACAAATAGGTAGAAATATAATTATGTTTTTTTTTAATTTTAATTACCTGCATTAATAATTTTTATAATTTATAAATATGTATTAATTAAACCACCTATTTTTTATTTTTGGTTCGATTTGGCTTTAAATGGATTTTTAAAAATTGTTCTTTTTTTTAATATAAAGTTGAATTTTTAGTTGTATTTTTAATTTAATCAAAGTTACTTTTAATTTGTTTGTATTAATAAATAACTAAAGAAATCAAATCTTTTTCCTTATATTCCCCTTATTTGTACTCAATTTTGTGTAAATTCTCATTAGCAAGTGTGCACTGCACTTATATTCAATTAATTTGCTGTTTCAATACTCAATTAGCCTTATTATGTATTATGTGTGTGTGTGTGTGTTTGTGTGGTTTTTGTGTGTGCTTGTGTGTGTGTGTGTTGCGTGCATTATGCAATCGTGTTTCTTGGACTTATAAATCCGCAGCCAAGGACAAAACTGTGAACAAAATAAAAACCAAAAAGTCAAACCCAAATTAACAAGTTTTTGGTCTTAGACATGGACTTGGACCTGGACTTAAGGCCTCATTCACGCTGTCCAGTGTACACTTATTATGGCCACAATTAGCGACCCGTTTTGTTTTTTTTTTTTTGTGGTCGGGGCACGTGTCAATCGTAGCGACGTCCAAAGCCGATTACACGCACCTCCCCCTAATCCACCCAGCAACCTAATCCACTCTTAGGCAACACCTAGCTGCTCAAAGCAAAACGGGGCCGTAAACTTTTTAATTGAAACAATTTGTACAAAAAAAAGCAACACAAGACAGCAAAGGCAACCAAATAACAATAACAATAGCAAAAGCAACAGCAACAGCGAAGACAGCGTAGCAAAGTTTCAGTTGCTTTTAATCTGGGCCAGCGGCTACGAAACTGGCCAAGACGCAGACCCCTTTGCCCTCCGCCCATCTGCTCCTGCTCTCTCCCCTCGCTCTCCCCCTCTCTCTCTCTCTCTCTCTCTCTCTCTCTCTCTCTCTCTCTCTCTATCTATCTGTCTGTCTGTGTTTGTTTTCCTTTTCTTTTCTTTTTTTCCTTTTTTTTGGCGGTTTGCGTGATTCGTTTTATTGAATTATTCGGCTGCTTTAACTTGCCATCGATACTCGATCCCAATTACGTATTGGTTTGGCACATATATATATAAATACGAGTATATATTTATATATACATATATACTTGCCTGTTTACTTGGTCTTGAAGCAATTCGCATAAATTTGTCACAATCATTATTCGAATCAGAATCGCACGCGCACAATTGAATTTGAGAACGCGCCGCACAAAACAAATCAAATATCCATTAACACGGCTCTCTTGGCACCCCCTCCGCTCTCTTGGCACCCCCTCCGCTCTCTAGCCACCCCCTAGACTATGATATCCGATTTTCGATTGACAACCTTCACACCCCCTCGCAGCCAGATTTTGTTGCGGTCACGTGTCACACGAATTGCAATCATATCGCGCGATATTGTTGACTAAAGCAAAAGCGAGTCCAATCACCAAGGGTTGACTTGTGGCTTCATTAGAGTGCAGCCAGCACCCACCCTTACTCCCACTTACCCCCACCTCCACCCCCACCATCGGCTGTTATTAAAGCAGCGAAAGTGATGACCCTTATGCCTGTCTGCTGTCTTGGAGGGTTGCTCGAGCATTTTATTTTATATTTATATTTTCTTTTTTTTTGCCAGCGAGAGGGCCATTAATTGAAATGCCAAGCAGGGACTGGTGGGTTACCCTTCCCCTTCCACCATCTCACATCCTGAGCAGCCCCCAACATTCTTCTCGTCATTTGGCAAACAATGCATGAGAAGCGAACATTCAGAGCCTTATTCGGCGACTCTTCTCAACAGATTCTCAACTGGCACCTGGCACAAAGGTCAGTCTTCACATAGCGACCTTTCACAAGATGAACGAGCGCATAAGACAAAAAGCCAAATACCAAACAAAAAGCAATGGAAAACGTCTATATTGCCACACCGAAGATTAAGTACCCTTGCCAGTAGGTATTTACAGAACCCAAAGATTAATTAATTAATCTTATCAACTATTTAACTTTAATAAGTCTGATTACTGATTCATAAAACCAATTTGAAAGAGGAAAAAACATTTTGCAAATTACTAATTAATTTAATGTTACTGACTATAATTGGAGATCATTAAGGAAAAAAAAAGGATTTATTTCTAGACAAGTAAGATACATTATCTATAGATATCTTAAATAAAAAAAAAATTATAATTCATTTTCAACCAATAACTCAACTCAAAACAAATGATGTTGCTAGAACTAATACTGTAAGATAACATCTGTAATTTAACATGCATCTATGTACCTAACATATGTATATTATC